GAAGTTCCATATCAAATAATTGATGTGGTGCTGAGCAGTTAATATATCATAGTTGGCTCATAACTCATCGGCTTAAGTTTTTGAGTAAAGGTGGGTCCAACTGGATATGTTGACGGACTCGAACTTGAGTTCCCTCTTAGCGATCTCCCCAGGTGAAGGTATCGGGCTTTCGCTGCGCATTCTCTAATAGATATGATCTTCTTAATAGGGGATTTTAATGAAACAAGGGACACAAACGAAAGGATCGGCTCCACCGTGCGTTCGACTTCAGGTATGGAGGAACTAGACACCATGATTGAGGAACTTGCATTGATTGAACCTCCGTCTACAGGTCCTTTCTTCACATGGACAAACAAAAGCTCAAGGGATAATCTTAAAGCAAGCAGAATTGCTAAAGTCTTGATTAATGTAGAACGGTAGGATAAGTATAACCTCCATTCAGTTCAATTCTTGCTTCTAGGGGTTTTCGATCACTCCCATGTTTGGTGTGACTTGACACCACATATAGGAGGAGGAAATCTTCTTTCAAATTTTTTAATTTTTGGATTGCTAACCCTAATTTCTTGCCTATGGTCTCCACTTGCTGGCAATAGGAAGTTCGAGGATCAAGAATGTTCACTGTGGTGGAGAAGCTCAAGACATTAAAACGAAAACTCAAGAGCTTGAATAGATCTCAGTTTGGTGATTTACACTTAAAGGTAAAGCAGGCTAAGGAGAGCCTACATTTACTTCAACATGAGCTTGTGCTTGATCCTTATAATTCCATTACTCGGGATGCTAAAAAGGCACAACTGGATGAGTTACTTGCTCTTAATAAACATGAAAAAGTTTTGCTTAAATAGAAATCTAGAAATCTATAGCTCAAGGAGGGTGATAACAATAGTAAGATCTTCTTCACCTCCATGATGCGGAGGAGTGCCCAGAACAGGATCATTCATCTCAAACTAGAGGATGGCTCTATTATTACCGAGGATGGTGTTCTTAAGAATTCAATTATATCATATTATCAACTCCTTGGTAGCTCTAGGTGTACAAATGTTCTATATGAGAGGTATACTTCTTTTTTCCATGAAGATGTCAATGTTCTTGTTACCTTGCTTGCACTTCAAAGATAAGATATTCTCAGAGTCTTAAAGGGTTTCAACGACTTCAAAGCTCCGAGTCCAGACAATTTTAATAATCTATTCTACAAATGCGCTTGGCCCATCATAGGCTAGGACATTGAGGATGTTGTCATGGACTTCTTCTCCTAAAAAAGAATGTTGAAATCTATAAATTCCACATTGATTTCCGTTGTGCCGAACGAAATTTTATTAATTCTTGTTACCGAGTCTTTTTGTGTTTCTTGTAATCAATATTTATAAAAAAATAAATCATTTCATATCTATCATGTTCGAAAAGTATTTTGAAATACTCATAAAAAATTTGGGGTCATTAGTTTCAGGGTAGGATTCCAAGGGATCGGTTCCTAGTTCGAGGAATTGGGAACTGACCCACTTAATCCTGCAACCTGATCGGACCGATTCTGGTTCTCCGATCTGGTTCCCAGGTGGGTACAGGAACCAGTGGGGATATCTTTCTTTTTTTTTTTCTCGTTAGTCAGCGTAGACACTCCCATAAATAGAAAACAAACCTCCTCCCAACTCTCTGAGCCCTTGCTTCTTTGCTGATAGGCAACAACGGTCTCTAGGATTATCAATCTCCATTGGAATTTTTGTTCTTAGAAAATTAAAGGAAAAAGGTGCGTAACAAAACAAACACCGAACAAGGGAGGTGCGTGACCGCATGAGACTAAGAGCGAGAGTGAGAAGTGAGAGTCGTGAGATTGAGCAAGAGTCGAGAGGGATGAGCGCGAGAGAGTATGGGAAATTAGAGTTTTGAGAAATGTTTTATCGATCCGGTCCGGGCGGTCTAGGTGGGTCAATCCACACCAGGAACCGGACTGATAATCACAGGTTCCAAATTTTAGGAATCGCAGTCTGGTCCCATGCTAACCCCTATTAAAAATAACATATGAAGTATTAATTTTTGTCAAGCCATGGTTTCGGTGAGAGTTGAACAGTTGACTAAATTGGATGAAAACATCAAAGTTTGTGTCATGTCTTCGTTGTTCTCTTTAATAGAGTGCCCATTGAGTTACTTATTATATTCTTTCTTATCTTTATCTTTTCATTAATCAGTCAAGGGCCCTTACGCAAACTTAAACAAACGATAAACATCATCGTGAACTGTCAGAAAGATGACTCAAAATTTCACTATCTATAATTTCTATTGATGATAAGGGTCACCAAAGCTTTTGCAGAGTACTCTTTATAAATGTGCGTAGATCGCCCCATCTAGATGTACACATCTATCATAAAAGGCCGACGTGCCCCCATAAGTTACTTTACAAAATAATTCATAAAATTATACCACGACATACAAGAAAATAATACATATTCTCATGTATCAAAACCTCCGTTACTCAACCACTCATAGAAGAACATAAAGTTAAACAGTTCGAAACGAGCCTAATGCTTCATTAAACAACTCTACAGAAGTAGTTCGAGCATTATACATCGTGGATCTCTTCTATATCATGAAATGAGTCGCTAGTTTCCTCGTCATCCAAAATAGGGTCGAGAAAACACAAGCTTTTCAATCAGCAATTCATGGTATGTTTAAATAGTCTTGGTTTACTATAAGAAATCGATAGCACGTCTTTCATTATGGATCGAATTATCCTCTTACGAACACTCTTTCTTGCTGGGTTTGCTGCTGCTATACCTAGAATCACTCTTTTCACCACAGAAGATTAGATACGAATTTGCAGGCGGATGTGGTCCTAGAACGATGACGCCATTGCGACCCAATAATTTATGGGAGCCACAAACGTGTTCGGCACTGTTTCTCTCTGCCCCCATCGCCACACGTAATTGTGTATGCTTGTCACGATTCGCCACGATGTCGTGTGGACTACGCTACGAAGTCTCAAGAAGTCTACTCTAATCAAGTAGTAAGTATGCACCCGATTCTTATTCGCCCGGTTATAACTCAATTGGCTTGTCTCTAACAATTGATTATACATGGTTTTTGAATTGTTTTTTGCTAGTGCTGCTGCATATACTTGGGGAGGTTGCTGTTGGGGAGGTTTTTGACTTGTTTTATCGCTGGTGCTGCTGCATATATATATATATATTGCTGCATGTAGTTGAGGAGGTCGTTGCTGGGGAGGCTTTGGACTTGTTTTTCTCTGGTGCTGCTGCGTTTAGTAGGGGAGGTGTTTGACTTGTTGGGGACATTATATTGATATAGGACAACCTTATTTTGAATGCAATGATGTTTGATTTGAATCTAAGCCATTGTTAATGGAGTGATTGGTTTTTATGTGTTTCCAAGTTTGTACGCAATGTTTGTTGCACACCAAATGGTCTAATCATATTTAAGAAAGTGAAATCAACAAATCACTTTTTAAAAAGTTACAAAGCATAAATAATAACTTTTAACAAAAATTGGTACTCACGTGATCACTTTTCACTAAACTTTGTTACGTTGGATTTACGACAAGTCACGTTATCCGGAAAAAACGTTAAAATATTGCCACGTTGGAATTCCTACGTCCCAAATCGAAATTGGTATTTAAGTGATCATTTTTTTACTAAAGTGGCACTGAAGGGAACCACTGAAAAGTTTTGGCTTTAAGTGAGCGCCATATAAAAATTATAGCACTTCTAGTGTCATTTTTCTTTTATTATTGTATTTAAAATCTACATGAACACTTTTGGATTGGCATAAAGCGAAGTTATTCATTAACGTGTGTCTCCTCAAAGATGAACTGGCACAATGCAAAATTGGCCAGTAGAAAACAAGAGAGTCCAGTACAGCACTTCATTTTCTTATTCAATGTGCTGTCTCATATGCCCGTCCGATTTATTCAATCTCAGAAAATACCAAGTGACGTGATCGGTGACGACGACAATATCCCGAAACCACTATAAATTGAGACACTCCCTTCGCTCCATTCCCACACCATCAGCTCTCTCACACATCCTCTTCTCTCAAACTAGTCACCCGATGTCTTCCAGGTTCTTGCTAGTTTTGCTCCTGGGAGCGGTGCTCTTCGCCGCCTCTGTCTTCTCTGAGGAGGTCGAAAAAGACCACGAGCACCACCACAAACACCATCACAAGCACCACCCGGGCGGTCGCCGTCTCTTGGATACCGTTGAAGTCGAGGACTCGCACCACCACCACCACCACCACCACCACCACCCCCACCACCCCGGCCACATGCTTGCTGAGGAAGTGGTAGCCGATGAAAAAGAAAAAGAGCACAAGCACCACCACAAGCACCACCCTGGTGATCGCCGTCTCTTGGAGACCGTTGAAGTCGAGGACTCGCACCACCACCACCACCACCACCACCACCACCCTTGATACATGCTTGCAAAGGAAGTGGTAGCCGATGAAAAAGAGAAGCCGTTCCCTGAGAACTGAGTGTGCGTTCTTCAATGAATGTATATGTCGTGTGCTTATCACGCTTTCAAATAAGAGGTGGTCCATATAGTATCTGGTACTACCGTGTTAGCAGGTTGGTTATTTGTGTTCCATGTAATATAGGATGTTTGCACTTTGCTTGGGCATTTCAAAAACTTTGCCCTCGTTAATATATGCTGAGTATTTGCTTGCCGTGAGCTTTCCTTTGTTAAACTTCTAAGTGTTCTCTTATGCAATCTAACATTGCCATGTCCCGCAAGCACGAAGAATTTGTTCATACTCCTAAACCCTCAGCCAACATAGATGCGCGACTAGAATAAGATTAATAGTTGATGAAAGACGTAAATAGGTTTTGCTTATTTAGAAAAGAGACAGCAGATCCTCATCTAGACAGAGGTACCGAAGATCTAAAATTTCTGATCAACTGCTTTTGACTCACTTGTGAAGTATAATAAAAGAAGGAATAATGAATTTCACCTACTGATATCAGGACATACATGAGAAGATAACAATGGATGTATTAGAAACATTAATTTTTTCTATTTGGATAATTTAATTACTTAAGACTATGTTAACAGAATCATATTATTCTAAAAAGATGTTTTTTACTTGCCCACGACTAAAAGCTACACTACCGGACATACACCCGAAGGACTTTGAAAAGGACCGAAATGAGGAGCTATAGAGGGGGTAGAAAGGAAAAGGTGCGAAGCAGAGTAACTAGCTAGTTGATTTAAAAGACATTCCTCTAGCCAGTCTGGAAAGCAATAGAGGTAAGATCAAAGCGGATGTATGAGGAGCAGTAGCGAATGGATTCCCGGGTTGTTGATTGGAGGTCATTTTTTGATTTCAATCACCACTGGGCGGCAAGCTCCACGCTTCTCAGTAAACTTCTAACCGTACCCTGTCCGCCAATCTGCACTGTTCGGGGTCTGTCAGTCCAATTCTATCCCGGCGAGCGGGAAGAAAGACAGAAGAGAAATTACATTATCATACGATATTTAGTCAATCAAGCAAGCTGAAGTTTTGTGGCACGGTTGGTAGCCAGTCTCTGTCAATCAAGGAAGCAAAAGCCAGTAGCAATCCTCTCTCCTATCTGTGAAAGGCACGGAGCGGTCTAAGTCAAAGAAGAAGAAGTTGATGAACATGAATCGATACGAAAGAGCCCTCACGATACGGAAATCTTTCCTCAAGGAAAAGGTCGCTTAAGCGATATGGGACTGCACCGCAAGCAAGAAAGAAAAATAATTTATTGAGGCAGGTGGGAATTTCAACAACTCAAAGAAAAGGACCTCGCTCCACCACACCACTTCCAACACATGTCCCCACAGATTGATCCGATTTTAATTTTTGTGGGGGAAGGATACTAGAAGTGCCAAAAGTTGTGTACGGCGCTCACTTTGGTGCCAAAAGTTTCATTTGGATCATTTAAGTGCAAAATTTTTTGAAAAACGATCACTTAAGTACCAACTCCGGTCAGTTTGGCCGGAAATCTGACGTGGCATTTTTTTATTAATTTCTAAAGCCGATGTGGCTCGCCGGAGATACAGTCAGCACGTACAGTCAGTATTTTTTATTTTAAATATTTTTTTTCTTTTTTCCTTTTTTTTTCTTTCTTTTTTCCTTCTTTTCTTTTTTTCTTTTCTTTCTTCTCCCTTTGGTCACCGCCGGTGACCGGAGGCCGGCCACCGGCCGCCTGGCCTCGCCCGGACGAGGCCGCCGCCGCCCGCCACAGGCGAGGCCCGGCCGACCCTCGCCTAGGCGACGGCGGGCAAGCCCCGGCGATGACCAAAGGGAGAAGAAAGAAAAGAAAAACGGAAAAGAAGAAAAAAAAGAAAAAAATTCAGAAAAGTATTTAAAAAATCGAAATATATACGTGGAAATGCCACGTAGACTAATTTTTTTTAAAAAATCGAACTAAGATTAAAAAATTAATTATAAATGGCACGTATTAATTTGGCCGGAATCTCTCACCGTTGGCACCAAAGTGATTATTTTTCCTCTGATTTGGCACTTAAGTGATCCAAATGGAACTTTTTGCACCAAAGTGAGCTCCGTACACAACTTTTGGCACTTCTACTATTCCCCCCCCCAATTTTTGTAGATCTGCTTCAGCTGAATTTTAACAATTGGCCTAACTGCTCTTGGAAAGAATTACCCAATGGTCCACTTATTGCTTTGTTGAGCATTAATCTTAGTCAAAATATGAATTTTCATGTAACATAATCTAGATTGGATTGAGCTTTTCCTTATGTACCTAGTTATAGAGTTCGAATGTGCAATAGTTTATTTTGAAAGTTCTAACAAAGATGGCCTATCTTTTTCATTTGGAATGGTATTAGTTTCGCTTTTTTTTCGATGACCAAATTCATATCTTTACTTGAATTTATACCGGTTTGCTACCTCTAGACAAAACCCTTAGAATTATAAGACAAAATTACCCTCCTTTACAAATGCTTAAGCCTGCAACCTCTCTCATGAACCCTAGCCTCCATCTCCAACAAATCCCATCACTCCTTTAACACGCATCACTATCCTTCGCCATCAACCCCTGTCGCGACCTCCTCGAACCGATCGGTTAGGCCAAGAGGAATTTGTCGAAGGATGTGAACGTTAATTGATTCGTTTGAAGGACGAACTAAATAGTTCATTAATCCAAAGACCGAGGCACTCCCGAGCCTCATGCCTTGCGCGACAAGAATTGTCAAATTTACGCATTCGATTGGAGTCGCCACTAGCTATAATCAAGGGTCAGCTAAAAACCCTGATCAAGACGTGGGAGTGTCGTCTCGATATGCACGATGACTAGAGATTCTAAAATTCGAGGACTTGATTACACTAGCGATCTAACCAGTGCCCTTTCGGTATCTAAACTTGAACATTTGCAAATTAACGTACCGGGCAGCCTATCGAAAAAAACTAAGATTCGACCTAATCATGTTAGAAAGGGAAAATAACAACCATTGTATTAAAGATGCGCAATCAAATAATCATAGAGAAAATAAAGAACCAGCGACTTAACATCGTCTTTAAAAAAAAAATACAATCAAAAGCCCTAAACTAAAGCCCTAATGGCTTGTCCGAATTTTTGGGAAATTTTTTGAGGTTTTCTCATTTTTTACAAATTTTCAACTAAGTCTAGAATGAAATAAATACTAATATCTAGTGAAATTAAGCCCAAAAGTGATTTTTGAACATTTCCTAATTTTCTGGATTTTTCTTGGAATTTTTTTGAATTTTTTTTGAATTTTTTTAAATATTTTTTTAATGTTTTTTCAGACTTTTAATATTTTTTGGATTTTTAAACATTTTCGAATTTTTTTTGAATTTTTTATATTTCTTAATTTTTTAATATTTTTTAATGTTTTAATATTTTTAATAATATAATAATTCCGGACCGGTCCCCTGACCCAATCCGCCCGACACCTGACCTGGGTTTTCTCTGACCCGCCCGGATCCCTTTCTCTTATTTCATTTTCGATTTTTTTTATCCCTCTTTTCTTTTTTCTTTTTCTTTTTTTGTTTCTTTTTCCTTTTTCTCTTTATTTTTTTATTACTTTTCTTCATCCCCTGCATGCCTTCTGTCATGCACGTCCCTTTTGCTTCTTCACCGAGAGTTCTTCATGCCGTGACTGGGATTTCGCCGAACGCTTCTCAACCCCGACCGCCGTCGCGTGCCGTCAACGCCAATGGCCGACACCGGGCTCACGTTCCCACTGCCGTACAGCCCAGCCTCCGGACTGTCAACTAACTTCGACCAAAAAATGACGCCGGCAACTAAAACTCGATTTCCGGCCCCCAAACTTCCGGCCCCGAGTAAACGCGCTAAGTCTAAACAACCAAACATACCCGCCAAGAAGCAGAGATAGTGATCTAATGGGGGCGGCTTCAAACCGCGGGCATCACCCAGCAAGGGGAATGGAGCATCCGGCGAGGGAATGCGTACACGCGGCCGACTTGAACAATGCGCGAACAATGGCATAAGAGCAAAAGAAAAACATCGAGTCAGTCATAGAATGTCGAGCCAAGCACAAACGAAGTATGAAACTAAGCTAACAAGAACAGATTTTGTTGATAAAAGTCTCGGCGTTCATTCGAGCATTTTATCAAACAGGTGGAGGGCTAGTTCAAACCGGAGCCCAAAACTGACATTCAACGTGATTTTTTTGCTCAAAGATGAAGTGTAAGGACCTAAACGACCGTATTTAGTAACAACTTCATCTCGGTTCACAATAAAACACTGAAAATTATCACAACGAGATTCGACGTTTTAGACCTACGCTGCTTCATTGGGATATTCTATCAAACAGGTTGTAGGCAACTAGGAAATGGAGCTACAGGTTCGTTTTTTGACGAAACTTGTGGCTTATTTTCGATATACAAGGCTCGAAGCAGCTTCTTTGAGTATAAAACGAGTGCTATCCTCCTTTGGTGGAGCCGGGCAATCACCGAATAGACTCGATGTGCCCGACACCCAAGAGGCAGGGGAGGGGGACCCGAAACAGTGTAAAACGATGAAGACCCACCTGGTTCAGGGCTGATCGTGTGGAAAAGTGAGGAAAATATGAAGAATTCTCTCATTGATATGTATATTCTTCTTTTAAGGTTACAATATAACATGTATATATATACAGAGGACGACAACCCTAATTTTCCTACAAGTCAGGAGATAAGAATAGGAAGAAACCAAATAAGGAAAACTTCTCCTATTAGGACGCTAATTGACAGCTCGTCAACACTCCCCCTCAAGCTGGTGAGAAGATATCTTTGATGCCCAGCTTGACAAGAGCGCTGTGAAATGCTCGGCTCGACACGGCTTTAGTAAGCACATCTGCCAACTGATCTTTAGACTTGACGAAAGGAAACTCTACCACCTTAGCATCCAAGTTTTGTTTGACGAAATGTCTATCCACCTCAACATGCTTAGTTCGGCCATGTTGAACTGGATTATGGGAAATTTCAATTGCCGCCTTGTTATCACAGAACAATTGCATCTCAGACTCTGGTGGAAAACCAAGCTCTGTCAGCAACTTCTTGAGCCACAATAACTCACACAGCCCCTTAGCTACTCCTCGGAACTCAGCTTCGGCACTGGACAGGGCTACAACCTTCTGCTTTTTGCTTCTCCATGTCACCAAGTTACCTCCCACAAATGTAAAGTAGCCCGAAGTAGATCTCCTGTCTGAAACGTTGCCTGCCCAATCTGCATCCGTGTAAGCCTTTATTTCCAAATGTCCATTTCTCCCAAAGAACAACCCTTTGCCCGGAGCTGACTTCAAGTAGCGTAAAATTCGAATCACGGCGTTCATATGTTCTTCGCTCGGAGCATGCATAAATTGACTCACAACTCCTACTGCATATGCAATATCTGGACGGGTGTGCGACAAATAAATTAACCTCCTTATTAACCTCTGGTATCGATCTTTATTAGTAGGTACCTGATCAGGAACTTCTCCAAGTCTGTGATTTTGGACGATAGGTGTGTCTGCAGGCTTACAATCCAACATTCCAACCTCAGCCAATAAATCTAATACATATTTTCGTTGAGACAAGAAAATACCTTTCTTTGACCGGACTACCTCGATCCCCAAAAAATATTTCAGACCTCCCAAGTTTTTCATCTCAAACTCCTTCGCAAGTCTTCTCCGAAGTTCAGCAATTTCTTCAACATCATCTCCAGTGATGATCATATCATCCACATATATGATTAGTGCAGTTACTTTGCCCTGTCTCCTTTTTAGGAATAGTGTATGATCGGAATTACTTTGAATATATCCATACCTCTTCATTGCTGAGCTAAAGCGACCAAACCATGCCCAGGGTGACTGTTTTAGTCCATACAGGGAGCGCTCAAGCTTGCAAACTACATTAGGCTGATCGACGCATGCATAACCCGGTGGAATCTCCATGTAAATCTCTTCCTCTAAGTCCCCATGAAGAAATGCAATTTTCACATCAAATTGATGCAAAGGCCACTCTCTGTTTACTGCAACTGACATCAAAACCCGGATAGTGTTCAACTTAGCAACCGGGGAAAAGGTTTCTTGGTAGTCCACACCGTAGGTTTGGGTATACCCCTTCGCTACTAGCCAAGCCTTGCATCTCTCAATTGAACCATCGGCCTTGTATTTGATGGTGAAGACCCACTTACACCCTACTGCTCTCTTTCCTGTCGGTAACTCTACCAGTCTCCAAGTCTCATTCTTCTGCAATGCTTCCATCTCTTCTTTCATCGCTTGTACCCACTTAGGATCATTCAATGCTTCTTGTACTCCACTAGGAATTTTAACTCTGGAGACGTTAGACACAAACGCCTTCACGGGTGCTGACAATCTCTTTGTCGATA